ACATACATGGTTTTATTTTATTTTTCCATGTTGTAATATTTTGGTCTCTGTTATTATACTCATGTTTTGTCTTAATACAAGCTCTTTGTAGCTTATGTTGTATGTTTTGCAAAATGGACGTAAAATATATATTTGTGTATCTTGTAAGTGCTCAAGGATTTTATCTGTAGTTTTTGGGACTATATATAGAAAAACTTTACCCCAGTATGAGGATTTTTTTTACACATTTTGTCATAAAACAAGTTATGTTCAGATTTCAGACAGAGGATACTCTAAAATTGTACAACTCAGAAAAGGTTGAAATATAATTATATTTCAATTTTTTCTGCTAAGAAATATTTAATCTCTAAAGTTATAAATGATAACTGTTTTAACAGGTCTAGTTTCCGAATTGGAAACCGAACCCTGTCTGACCTATTAATTATCATTAAATAAGGCCAATTAAAAGTTTAAAACAAATATTGTGTTTATGCTAACCCCACAGATACTGGACACACAAATAGTAATATGATGTGTATAAACTATGATATAGTATACACACAATACTTATTGGTGTGTTCGACACCAGTGTGGTTAACTAGACTTATCTCAGATTTGTGTTCCTACAATACCGTTAAGTTTTTATATGCACTGTTAAAGTCAGAACTCCTGCTCTATATTAGCGCAGTAAAGATATTTTTCAAATTAACAATAAAATGCCTAGCTAATACATATCTACCCTATTTTTTTCTGATCGTAGAAACACAAGTAATTTGTTTGGCCTAATGTTTCTGTCATTTCATAATATTTAGAACTACTATACTTTTTTAAGTTTCCAAAACATCAAGTAGTATAACAATTGAAACTTCAATGACAGCCAACATCACAATGAATATAATAATACAATGTTTATAACATGGTTTTTTTTCAACTGAATGAGAAGAAATGTAAGGCCAAATATCCTCACAAACAACGCTCAAGTGAAATCAGTTTGCAACTTAGCAGTTCGAAAATTTTGCAACACGTCTGGGGAAAGACGTTCCTTGTGACGCTGTAATTCACTAGTGTAAAAAGTCCATTTACTTTGTTTGTTTTTGCATAATTACTGCTATACATACCGTAGAAGCACCTTCCTTTTTGTCATCGCCGCTGACAACATGCGCCATTCTCTGCGGCTTCGGCCGCATGCTTGGCCACATGTCACCGAAATCGGGATAAAGAGCCTTATTTATGAATCAGTAGTAGGTAAACGTTGCAGAAGTGTATGCATATTGTTCATTGTCAATGCTGCTTAAACAACATGCCTTACATTAAGTCAACACTGGCCTGCATTTTCGTCTTTTCCGCTTCGCGTTGCGAATGATTTCTAGGCTTACACAAAACGAAAGTAAAATGTGCGCATGTCTAAATGTAAGGTAGATCACTCGTGTTTTCCCGTAGTATATGTCTGAAATCATTCCGAATTTCTGTGTATATTGAAATAAAAGAGTCCTGTTATATGGTAATACTTCAATAAACGAAATACGCAAATCACACCAACAGACATATAAAATGTAGGCCTATCGGCGCATATTTTTCGTTTCTGGCTGAGCTGAAGGCCTAATTAGCGAGAAGGCAATATAAAAATGCAATAGAATATCTTATGATGAAAATAGAACAAAATGATAATACTGCGAAGGTAAAAAAAAGCCTTCAGGTTAGAATACCAATATGGAACTAGAGAAGACAGTGGCTAGTACTAATATGATTCCCGGTCTCATCTGCCCCGGCCGGGCGATCCCATTTTAGTTAAGCAAGCCTGGTGTGAATCACACGGAGGCGATTTTAGAATTAATTGATAGGATCCGTATCCATTAATAGGTTTCTAATATGAACTTTTTATGTTGATCTCCTACATAATTGTAAGTTATACTCTGCCTTATATGTCGTTAAATTATCAAGTTTACGTAGTAGGTGCAAGCGAAATCTGAATTGACTGCCATGTTGGAAACTTCGTCTGTCTTCCAATACAGGTCAGACGTCTAAATATGGGTGTCATGACCAAATATGGAAATTGTAGTAAACATGACGGCATCAGTAGTAATTTCTATATTTGGCCGTGAAGGCCATATAAGGAAACGGGTAATTGCGATAACATCACGCGTGATCTAACATGGCCGTCGTCTCTGTTTTTAGAGTTTTTAGTAAGGATTTGTTATTTCAACGATGAACGAATATGCAATATTTTGATAACATTATAATCATATGAAGCGTGAATCATATATATTATTACAGATTAGAACTTTTGATTTTCCTCAGTTAGTTGGAACAGGACTGCTTCATAGTTCAGACCACGGAATATATAAATGTAAACAGGGACGTAAATGCAAGTCATCAATTTTAGCCAATCACAGGACAATATTTCCGTGTAAAGGGTTAATCCAGCGACAGTTCCAAGAGTAAATACGAAGTTTTAGAAGGATACTTAGTTCTAACTAAGAATAAGATTATATCCAATGACTTGTGAGTGAACTTGAGTCCGTGGTAATGGATTTTATTTGCAGTTTGTTTAGTATTACCAGATATTACTGGTAGGTGACGTGATGTCTTGTTTATGAATATCTGAGCTCATTAACTGAAGTATTTTTACCGGAAGTTGCGTGTAGCATGCATGACCTACTGTCAAGTGGCAGTTCCCGATTGGGATAAACAGGGTGCATTTTCAATAAGAATACGACGTTGTGATAAGATCATATGTTCTACAAAGGAAAGTAATGATATTTACTACCCATTCAAGTGCATTTAAGTCCAAAGTTACGCATAATAAAGACAGTAGGTCCGGTATATGATTCAATTTAGTACCAGTGGGTACTGCTAGGAGCGTCTGTGTGAAAACGACATTTATGAATATCTTGAGCTCATTAACTAAAGTAATACCAATACCTGGCGGCTAACGCCTTAGCTAAAAAGGCCTATGGAGCTAAGTAGTCCTTTTAATTTTGTTCTCTCCATTAATCATCTGATTTATGGCTGACCAAATACAACGATTTAACCATGAACCCAACTGTTAGCATTGGTGATATCATTCATCACTGTCTGAATTTTCTTAGTTACTAAGATCTTATTAATTATGTGATCATATCAATAAAATGTTAATTAAGACCGTATTACATGTTGCTACTGGACTAATTGATTGAAATAACAAGTAAACAAGTCCATTGAGGGTTTAAAGTACATGTTTATTGGACATGTGACTTGATGACAAAGCTCGTGAAGCCTCGTCACTGCAATATTTATAATACAATTTGTTCTTTTGCAGAGGTTTGCTCGGTATGTCTCTACTAATGGTATGTACTATATACGTCTTCCACCACTGTATACTAGGATTAAAGTATAGATCACCAACACTGTGCAGTAACAGGCTACACACACATACAGATAACACATTTCTACCAGTCCCACTCTTCATAGTGTCATCGATGGTCGGTCAGTGGCATTTTGATCTATCATTGAACATTTTGGTTCCTTCTGTCCTTCTACCGACTTGAAAGCTTTGCTATGAAGCGACAGGACCTTACTGATAGAGATGGAATTTTTGAAAAAATCTTACAACAATAAACCGTAAACACCGATTTTAATGTCCAATAAAAGTGTCCAGCTGTTCAACCTGATAAACTTCAAAGACAAAATAAATTTAAGGATTTTCAAATGTTAGCCGTCCATTAAACGGTTACTCGGTCGGAAGATTTTCGAGCAACTGATTACTGAAATTCAACCAGTTTTACAACCCTAAAATTTTCGCGATATTTTTGTTGCTGTTTTCTGCTGTATCTTAAAAATATTGAACTCTTGCATAATGTTATTCAGTGTGGTTGAGATGCTTATTGTTCCTGATGCTTCATACAACACAACACATAGGGACAATGAAGAGTCTGGACCAGTGTTTGATATAAAACAATACCAACATGTAAAGTAAAAGAAAGGAAGCCATAAAACTGTCCATTGGTGAACCCAACTGAAAATCTGACGAATTCACGAACACTAGTAATCATTTAAGTGTTCAAAAACAGCAGCTAGAGTACTCTACCTTCCGACTCGTGCTTTCACAATTTTGATTGATATCATCTTTTATGTTATACCTTGAAAAGCAGGAACATTCCAATAGCATATTGCGTAATGTTTTTATTACATTGTTAAACTACCTATAATAGAAACAAATTTGTTACAACCTAGATACAAGTCTTATTAAGACCTTTCAACATTTATTATACAAAATTTATAAATGGTCGATTCATCACAGACAGTTTCATGACTCCTTAAATGTGTCAAATTTACATACAATAATGAGATCATGTGATTAAAATGCTGAAATAAGATAATTTTCCTAGAGCGACATACGAGAAACACAGAAAGCAGGTATTTAAAAGTAATGTAGCCACAAAAATATTTCCAAAGCTTAAACATACAAATGATGGAATACATATTTAAAAACATTCGAAAATGAAGGCTAGGTGCATGATCCAGATAAAAGCACTTTTTCTATGGATAAAACTTCCTCGTCTTGATACATTTATTTGCTTGACATCAATTGACAATGTTAGAAGCTGAACCATGGGGGTCACCAACAAATATGATACATACCAATGACTTGAGGAGGGCCATAGAAACTGAACTATCCCTGCTTTAAAAGCTAATTCATAATAAAATATACATGGAAACACTTTAAAAGAGTTTACAATGAACATACAATATGTAATCATGAAACTTAAATTTTGAAATAATAAAAGACCTATGATCTTTAGATCTGACCTTCAGCCATGACATGGGAAGCTGTCCCTAACCTTTACATGTTTTACTCTACTTGTATCCAGAGTCACAAAATAACTGTAATAGTGTATTGTTTCGTGGAAGTAAACAGATTTATTATTTATCTTTATCCAAGCGAATTATTAAAGTTCAATGCTAATGAAAACTAGATATTGATTAACGGTTCTCCAATAGGGCATGCTAATTATAATGCAGTCAACAAAACACAAATGATATGTAACGTACATGTATTAACGTATAAATACTAAAACCATTCATGATATCCTAAGTTTAGTCACTCTTCAGATACTTACTGTTCCTAACATTTATATTCCTGTCTTTTAAAATTTAACATGAACTGCAAAAATTGCTTCAATAATAATTTCTTAACTCAAATTACAAGTATTTCTTGATCACCTCAGTGTGTTTGTATATATACTCGATAGGTTTACGGTGATATTTCCATATTTCCAAGAATCATTGACATACATTTATTGTAATTCATTAATAAGAATACATGTATATAGCATACAAAGATGACCAATCTTATTATCCTAAGATATGCTTGAAAATCTTATCTTAGGATTCTAGGATTCTACCTTGCAATCACGTATTAAGTCAGTATATACAATTGGTAATAGAATGTGGCACATTAATTGTATCTACATCTATCTTCTATTGGCCGAAACTAGTCCAAACCATAGTTATCATTCTGGCATTTATCTCCGTTCACTTGAGTTACATGTATTTAAGAAACATTGAAATATCTCGGATGCTGAGAAAAAAACAATCTTTATATCTTTATCTAATATAACAATGTCAAAAATCACCGGAAACCTATCTTTTATTCACAATTAATTCTAACCCTTGTATCAATGATATCATTATTTCCTTGTTAGTAAAAAGTAAAAATAATAAAATCTAAACACTTTCTTGCAACAGCATATTTACACTAGCCAACATTTCAATGATGGGTGTGACAATTCTTTTATGGCAAGATGAGCAAAGAATTTAATTCAAGCGTTTTTAATCATTGAACATTAAGTAAAATCTTCATTGAGTTTCTTACACTGCGTAGAGTAGGTTGTTCTACAAAAATTTAAAATACCAAATAGAAATCTTAATTCATGTTTTATAAATTTAAAATAGTGATCAAATAATTATAATTTCAAACATGTACCAACAAATCAAAGGGATTCATAGGAATAAAAGTACACAAAAATCGTGCATGTTTGATATTTCTACAATGTATATAAGGTATCGGAAACTTAAGCAGATTAGAATAGCGATTATTTATTTCCTTACAGTTCTAAATAAGGTTAGAATCTAATCGAGATACAAATTTACTTACATAAACATGATCAAACTTCCTTAACTGGTTATTACGAATGTTGTGTTTTGATATTCATCAAATAAACATGTCGCCAATCGGTTATATAAGTATCAGGAGCAAATCACTGGATGTGGAAACTGAGACAATATATTGGTACATAACATTGAATAATTTACACACGATTATTAACACCAGTGTTTATAGTTACCTCCCTTAGATCATTCACCATCTGTCACAATTTTCCAACATTCTTTCACATTGAGAAACAAGCTTACGGAGCTTTACCTCACAGAGCTCTACCTTACTGCGGGAGTAAATCTGATAAAACACGAGCTTAACGCCTTTCTACCTGCACACATATGAATGACTATGTACAACAATACGGCAATGTTAAAGTGTTGCGTGTCTAGTACACATATCTACACACTGGAGAGACTTTGTAATACAAATGTATCACGGCAGTACATAATATATATCACATGTTTCATCAAACGGTTTTTACTGGGAAATTCTTTATACACAAGGTCTTTTTGAAAAGCGCATATGGAAAAGTTCTGAGCGATTCTTTAAACTTCTGCAGAAAATAATTCAATGGCCTTAGAAAATGAAATGCCTTTTTGTCATGTGTATGCATGCCCTTCAGAGGGATACAAATGTCTTAGCATAATTAGTAACATTTTTTCAGTTAACGACAAAGGATTATGGAGTTGCAGCACCTGTACAAAGATGCCACGTAGACACCTACAACAAACTCTACGGTATGTAAACTGACCAGACAATGGGTTAGTACAAGAATTTGTTTGATCTATGAATAGATGAATATCACAAATTGCTAAACAATGAAAGGCAAACTTTATTGGTAATTACGTGATTGTATATATAATTCTACACACTTGATTTATGTTACCCTTTTTATATTACTTCTCTGTCAGATCAGGCCCCACTTGCAAAAAATATCAGTCAAGAACAGTTTCTAACAATTCTAAAGCGACAAAGAATCTCACAATGGTTGAAACTTTGAGACTTGAGGTGAGTCAGCCAAGTGGGACCATGTCATGTTGTGGTATCTTATAACTCCTAGAAATTGTCTTCAGAAAATAAAACACTACATGTAACAATATTAGTTTTAACATTGAAATTTCTATAACTCATACTGATTTTTCATTGTTTGCATATATACAAAATACAATCAACACATGAATGATGGCCTATGTTTAAATAAATAAGGGAGTCAGAGAGATGATAATGAATCAAATCCTTATGAAGTGAACACATCATTAACAAACCATGAATCAACTGCTACCATAAATCTGAAAGATAACTTACTTCTCTAGAATTTTGATTATATAAATATATGGCCACATCCGTCTTACAGTGCACTATAAAATTATTTCTCTTTGTTCCTGTCATAATGTACTTTATATTAAATACATATGGATCTACAACACTAAAAGTTAATTAATGGAAACTTGAACAGCAAATAACCGGTAATCATACTTTAAAATGAGTAATATATGATACTATAGCAAAATCTGTACTGTCTGTAGGTTTTGTCTGCTTTGTCTCTGGGTTGTTCTTCATTTTGTCCCAAAGTTAAGCCAGGTTTTATCTGAAGGTTTTTTTGTTTTGTCACCAAGTTTCATAAGTTTCACTTTTAAGAGGGGTGCAGTGGCTGAGAGGTTAACCCTTTCACCCCTATGTAACCTTAGTAGACTCTACCATGCATTGATATGGATGAGTCCATTATGGTCTACAGTGGTGAAAGGGTTTAGGTGTCTGACCGTCTACGATCACTAGCCCTCCACAATTGGGTCACAGGTTCAAAGCCTGGTGATGTCTGCAGGCCATTGTTTTTTCTCTGGGTACTCCAGGTCTCCTCCACCACTAACACCTGACTCATCTTTAAATGACCATAGCTGTTAATCTAACTAAACCAAATGCTTTACTCTAAGGATTCAACATTTTTGGGCTATCTTTCTCTATTTGAATTTGTTTTTGATGTCTTTATTTTTTGGTGGTTTGAGACTTTCTGCCCATGCTATGCAACAACAGTTATAAGATAACATTACTTAGACTAAAATCTACAGTCCAGACTTTCAATTAGTATAGCACACACTGTTACATAATGATAACTGATTAGGTATTCCAAACATAAAACTATTGTGGTAGTTAATGGATATTGAGAAAGTCTGAAATTCAACATACCCTCAAACTGGACTTAGATACACATTAAACACCTAACAGATAATTACCCGTGTAGTTTACACTTTCTTCACTGGTTCAGTAACTGGCACATTAAGGTACTATACATTGTATAGATTGCAATTGTCTCCCTTTAATTTAGTTGAATAGTATACCTATTCCGCCTGTGTCATTTCCTTTCATTTGAATTTTCTAAAAGTTCTGTATTTTATATTACTATTTTTTTTGCATTGAATCCGATTCTAAAAAACAAACCATTTATAATGCGCTAAAAAACTAAAATTCAATATGGCTTTCAAAATAATGAACACACCACTTATTAAGAAAACAAACCTGCCGACACTTAGCTCCCCTTGTTATACTTACTACATGAAGAGAAAATAAAATGTATAGTTTCCTAACCTTTTCACCCCTATGTAACTTTAGTAGACTCTACCATGCAATGAAATGGATGAGTCCATCATGGTTTCCAGTGATTAAAGGGTTAAGGTGTAAGAAAACTCTGATCAGGAAGCAACCCCATAAACAAGAAAAATATCAAGTTCACTCCAAATATATCACAATACTTTGAAGCCAATATACATAACATTTACAGGGAAAAATGGTTTCATGATGATTTACCTCTTCCCTAAACATGGAATTGATTGTAGCAAGCCTATAGTAAATCATACGGCAGACCGTAATATTCAGTTAGGACAACACAAGAGCCTAATCCACCTTGTCTGAGTTTTTTCTACGTTTGACACAGGCCTACAATATCACCCAAAGTTAACAGCCAGTAATGCAGGGTTGTCCGTGTCATTTTTTGAAGGAAGTAGATGGGATTTCTGGTTTGAAGTTGCGATGAAAAAGTATTGCACAGTCAGCATCGTTAGTAATGATACACTTTCTACTAAGATTTAGTAAAACAATGATAAAAACAGAACTTTGAATTTCTGCTACTTCTTCATCCGATGTTGTTCTGTTTCCTATTCCCGCATGAAATCCCTTATGGAATCATTCCTTGTATGTCTGTCATCACTTTTCTCTATACTGCAGATATTGGTCACTCTGGAGATGTCCAGCTTGTGGTTATACCTTCTGCTAATACTTGGGACAATGTTACTGCTGTTGGGTAACAGCAAGGTTTTCTGCTGATCAGGTCTGACTAAATTGCAATCTTACATACACCATCAGTCAAATTCAGGATCAATTTTGAAAACTGTGCAGCCTTAACGATTAATTCCATGAGAACAAATCTTCCAAACAATAATTCAATTTTTCAAACATAAAAGCTTCATAAAAACATGTCTTGAAAGACATCACAAAAGTTTGTCCTTTCCAGATGGTCCAAGCTTTAAGCCTACTACTATCTGTATGCAATTTAGTCAGATCCTTTGAGCGTCTTGTATAGTGAAATCAGTTCCAGAGATACGTTCACAGTACCCAGGAAAAACTCCATACAATCAAAAACAGCCATCCTTCCAGCTTTCGTCCGAGGATCTGGAGCCTGCAGCTGGTCGTGGGGAGGGTATAGCTGACCTGTAAACATATCACATCCTCAATGTTATATATGTATCTCCGTCAACAAAGACACGTACAGGGACAGGATTAAAACACCTGTCCAACATCCCCCACCAGTAAACTATATATGTCCTCCTGGTACAGTGTTCATTTCATAAAATCATCTTCAGCGGTTCAGAAATAATCTGAGTCAAGATCCAGATAGATTGACAGATCCTATACCATGCTCTGTCACCAGGTTGTAGTAGGGTACAATAGACCCAAAAAAGAACAATGGAGATTACAGACAAAACTGTTACAATGTTACAATTATTACAATGTCATAAATCCTAATATATGTTTCAAACTAAATTCCTCACTAAAACTTTGATGAATGAGAAAGTGGTAATATCCTTGACATTTTCTATTACTGACCTCCTGGGCGTGGCTATCCCTGACTTTCCTGCCCCCGCACCTGCACTCCCAGGGCGTGGTATGGACCTGCGGGCTGGCTGCGGGAGCCCAGTCCTCTGTGGAGACAGGCCTCGCCGCACCTGGGTAGGCTGCCGCAGCCCACTGACATTCGGAGAAGCAGGTCGCACCTGTGGTTGTAGGCGTGATAACTGGCGGGGCTCTGGGGCCGTACGATCATAATCATCACTACCACCAGACGAGTTATTATCTAAGTAAGGATCGCTGGAGTGGAAGCCAGGTGGCTGACTTATCCGAGAGACATTTTGTAAACTCCTCCGTAACCCGGGTGTTTCTCCTATATAATATACAGTAATGTCTTTTTAAAACGGACTTCCTTTGTCAGGAAAACTTTTTGTGTTATAATAAAAAGTAAAGTGATTATCATGCAAACAGAATTATTTTATTCATCCCTTTTTCAGTCAAATACAATGAAAATCATACTGTGTGAAATATACTTTTTGAAGAATCATAGTAACAGCATACAGGAAAGGTCTCTATTTTACGTTTGATTTACTTTTCATTAAAATTGATTGCACATTAGAACTTTGTTATTTTATTTACACAATATTTATTTCATTTACAAGTTAAATCTATTGTTGTAAGTTTTTACAGGAACGATTTCTTTACAACTATGTTAAATCCGAATAAGCAGATACACATACCTTGGTTTGGAGGATTCAGATACTGACTTCCATACGGACTGTCAGGAGGACTACTAATGTCAGACCCTATACTATTACTCTGACTGTTCCTACGCTCACCTGTAAATCAACATACACAGATCACAAACAAATCTATATATAGTAACTTGTATCAAACATGCATAGTCCGGGTTTTCCAGAAGGGGTTACCTACAATTCTGGTTTTCCAGAAGGGGTTACCTACAATTCTGGTCTTACAGAAGGGGTTACCTACAATTCTGGTTTTAAAGAAGGGGTTACCTACAATTCTGGTTTTACAGAAGGGGTTACCTACAATTCTGGTTTTACAGAAGGGGCTACCTACAATTCTGGTTTTACAGAAGGGTTACCTACAATTCCGGTTTTACAGTAGGGGTTACCTACAATTCTGGTTTTACAGAAGGGGTTACCTACAATTCTGGTTTTACAGAAGGGGTTACCTACAATTCTGGTTTTACAGAAGGGGTTACCTACAATTCTGGTTTTACAGAAGGGGTTACCTACAATTCTGGTTTTACAGAAGGGGTTACCTACAATTCTGGTTTTACAGAAGGGGTTACCTACAATTCTGGTTTTACAGAAGGGGTTACCTACAATTCTGGTTTTACAGAAGGGGTTACCTACAATTCTGGTTTTACAGAAGGGGTTACCTACAATTCTGGTTTTACAGAAGGGGTTACCTACAATTCTGGTTTTACAGAAGGGGTTACCTACAATTCTGGTTTTACAGAAGGGGTTACCTACAATTCTGGTTTTACAGAAGGGGTTACCTACAATTCTGGTTTTACAGAAGGGGTTACCTACAATTCTGGTTTTACAGAAGGGGTTACCTACAATTCTGGTTTTACAGAAGGGGTTACCTACAATTCTGGTTTTACAGAAGGGGTTACCTACAATTCTGGTTTTACAGAAGGGGTTACCTACAATTCTGGTCTTACAGAAGGGGTTACTTACAATTCTGGTCTTACAGAAGGGGTTACCTACAATTCTGGTCTTCCAGAAGGGGTTACCTACATTTCTGGTTTTCCAGAAGGGGTTACCTACAATTCCGGTTTTCCAGAAGGGGTTACCTACAATTCCGGTTTTCCAGAAGGGGTTACCTACAATTCCGGTTTTCTAGAAGGGTTACCTACAATTCTGGTTTTACAGAAGGGTTTCCTACAATTCTGGTTTTCCAGAAGGGGTTACCTACAATTCTGGTTTTCCAGAAGGGGTTGATCAAGGTTACAGTACTAAGCCTGACATATAACACTACATAACCTGTTATGGCCACAATATTATATTCAAATCTATGATAAAAAGCTTCATAATTATCATTACCATATCTGGCTAAATTATCAGCTAGATACTGAAATCTAGTTATATGAAATTGAAAAAAGAATAGAAATGAATTGTTTAAGTGTATTCAGTTATTCAAATAAACCCATGCAACTCTTCAATAATCTATCAGCGTAAAGGCTCATTATCAACTTGTGTTGTAATGTTATGAATAATATTTCACAATCAAAACTTGTGTAATAATGTAACGAAGAATGTTTCACAATCAAAACTTGTGACCAGTGTTACTGTAGGTATTCACAAAATAGTATATTTAGTGAATTCTACAGTAATGTTAAATGTATATAAAAAAGGACAGTTCCTGAATTAGCTGTAAATATCAAAGACACCATTAATGAATCAAGTTACACATTAGGTAGAATAATAGAAGAATAGATTATCTAAATATCCAATATACTCTCTTTCCATCTTATGTACAGTTAATTCAGGAAAAATAAAGACCACAATGACAACAATTTGATACATGTAAATGACTTGTACGAACAGTCACAACATTCAACACCACCACCGAATCCATCACTGTGGCATACCTCTATGTCAAGTGTGTACGTTATATAAATATAATTCTACTGTTATATACTAAAAGTAAACAACTATTATCTGTGTTCCGAGAAGTATGTTATAAATACCCTAATCGTCCCCCCCCCCCCCCCTCACAGTCTTGAAGACATGCACAATACCCTTATATGGACATCTCTCTGGGCACCAATATTGTTAGAAATATAATGAAACCTGGTTAGTCTTTACAAGGATTCCACAGGAGTGGATGTGTCGCCTGCTCAGCACTTTTAGTGAGAAAAGTGTTTTGGCTTGAGTTATGGCATAAACAAGCAAGAATTAACAGCAAAAACGATGAACAGCATTGCTATGTCAAGTGTGATATATGCCAAAAAACGCCTCCGACAAAGTAATACCTATATGTTACACAAGTTAAATTTACAGTGAATCCAGACATTAATGCACTATACATATAGCTAGTTTAAAATGTATACGGTAGGGTTGAGTTTAGACACAATGAAACTCATCACAGTGGAGGTATGAAAGATTTCCTGATATTGGATCTTGACCGATTACCACCAAAATCTAAGTGTAGACTTTGATGCTACACACTCTAGTATACCTATACAAGAGATCCCAGAGGGTTCTTGGCGCCCACCTTTGTACCATCTTCATTAGTTCCTTGTCAGTTCGATCTTTTCTCTTCTTTCCTCTAATCTGTTTGATTGAGTCATGTTAACAGTAAATGCACCTTGGGTAACTTTTGATCTAAACTTAATACTGATGTGTATGAAAGCCAACCTTCAAAGTGAGTTTGTCATTTCACATATTTACAAGTACAGTACTTAATGTGAAAGAAATAGAATCGATCATTGCAATATGAGAAAGATCTGTTTAGTTCTTCTTTTAATCCATTTTGTTTTTATGATCAGTCTCAAAATATAACATACACAACGAGGGATCAAGGGGAACCTACATTTAAAATTTGAGAAAGATCCCTCCCGTACTTCCCGAGAAATAGCAATAACAAACTTTCACTATCAAAATCCAAGATGGCTGCCTGTCGGCCATGTTGTTTATCCGATCAGTCTCTAAAATTGCCCTGCACAGCTAGGACCAAGGGGAACCTACATATAAAATTTAAGAAAGATCCCTCTAGTTCTTCCGGAGAAATAGCGGTAACAAACCTACACTATCAAAATCCAAGATGGCTACCTGTCGGCCATGTTGTTTATCCGATCAATCTCAAAAGTTGCCCTGCACAGCTAAGGACCAAGGGGAACCTACATATAAAATTTGAGAAAGATCCCTCTGGTACTTCTTGAGAAATAGCGATAACAAACTTTCACTATCAAAATCCAAGATGGCTGCCTGTCGGCCATGTTGTTTATCCGATCAGTCTCAAAAGTTGCCCTGCACAGCTAAGGACCAAGGGGAACCTACATATAAAATTTGAGAAAGATCCCTCTGGTACTTCTTGAGAAATAGCGATAACAAACTTTCACTATCAAAATCCAAGATGGCTGCCTGTCGGCCATGTTGTTTATCCGATCAGTCTCAAAAGTTGCCCTGCACAGCTAAGGACCAAGGGGAACCTACATATAAAATTTGAGAAAGATCCCTCTGGTACTTCTTGAGAAATAGCGATAACAAACTTTCACTATCAAAATCCAAGATGGCTGCCTGTCGGCCATGTTGTTTATCCGATCAGTCTCAAAAGTTGCCCTGCACAGCTAAGGACCAAGGGGAACCTACATATAAAATTTGAGAAAGATCCCTCTGGTACTTCTTGAGAAATAGCGATAACAAACTTTCACTATCAAAATCCAAGATGGCTGCCTGTCGGCCATGTTGTTTATCCGATCAGTCTCAAAAGTTGCCCTGCACAGCTAAGGACCAAGGGGAACCTACATATAAAATTTGAGAAAGATCCCTCTGGTACTTCTTGAGAAATAGCGATAACAAACTTTCACTATCAAAATCCAAGATGGCTGCCTGTCGGCCATGTTGTTTATCCGATCAGTCTCAAAAGTTGCCCTGCACAGCTAAGGACCAAGGGGAACCTACATATAAAATTTGAGAAAGATCCCTCTGGTACTTCTTGAGAAATAGCGATAACAAACTTTCACTATCAAAATCCAAGATGGCTGCCTGTCGGCCATGTTGTTTATCCGATCAGTCTCAAAAGTTGCCCTGCACAGCTAAGGACCAAGGGGAACCTACATATAAAATTTGAGAAAGATCCCTCTGGTACTTCTTGAGAAATAGCGATAACAAACTTTCACTATCAAAATCCAAGATGGCTGCCTGTCGGCCATGTTGTTTATCCGATCAGTCTCAAAAGTTGCCCTGCACAGCTAAGGACCAAGGGGAACCTACATATAAAATTTGAGAAAGATCCCTCTGGTACTTCTTGAGAAATAGCGATAACAAACTTTCACTATCAAAATCCAAGATGGCTGCCTGTCGGCCATGTTGTTTATCCGATCAGTCTCAAAAGTTGCCCTGCACAGCTAAGGACCAAGGGGAACCTACATATAAAATTTGAGAAAGATCCCTCTGGTACTTCTTGAGAAATAGCGATAACAAACTTTCACTATCAAAATCCAAGATGGCTGCCTGTCGGCCATGTTGTTTATCCGATCAGTCTCAAAAGTTGCCCTGCACAGCTAAGGACCAAGGGGAACCTACATATAAAATTTGAGAAAGATCCCTCTGGTACTTCTTGAGAAATAGCGATAACAAACTTTCACTATCAAAATCCAAGATGGCTGCCTGTCGGCCATGTTGTTTATCCGATCAGTCTCAAAAGTTGCCCTGCACAGCTAAGGACCAAGGGGAACCTACATATAAAATTTGAGAAAGATCCCTTCTCGTACTTCTTGAGAAATAGCGATAACAAACTTTCAATATCAAAATCCAAGATGGCTGCCTGTCGGCCATGTTATTTATCCGATCAGTCTCAAAAGTTGCCCTGCACAATTAAGGACCAAGGGAAACCTACATATAAAATTTGAGAAAGATCCCTTCTCGTACTTCTTGAGAAATAGCGATAACAAACTTTCACTATCAAAATCCAAGATGGCTGCCTGTCGGCCATGTTGTTTTCCGATCAGTCTCAAAAGTTGCCCTGCACAGCTCAGGACCAAGGGGAACCTTCATATAAAATTTGAGAAAGATCCCTCTGGTACTTCCTGAGAAATAGCGATAACAAGAATTGTTTACGGACGGACGACGGACCACGGGCGACGGACGGACCACGGACCACGGAGGCAGGGTGATTTGAATAGCCCACCATCAGATGATGGTGGGCTAAAAACTAAATACGTTAAAGGGGATGGGAAATATCTTGTGCACAAGCTTTTGGCTTTCAACTTCAAAAAGTGGTCATGATCAAGTGTGACCTTTGCCCTGGATAGTCAAAATCTAATTAGGAGTAGAACGTCATGTTTCCATACACTATGGTGTAAATATGAGCTGAACCTTTTTAGGGGTTTATAAGTCCTGTGCACAAACTTTTTACTACTGACACAGACAAACAAACATAGAGATGCACTATGTATACTGACAACACAATAACTATACCCCCTCCAACAAGTGAAGGGATATTAAAAGTACTTTCATATCATAAGTTACTCAAAAACATACAAAAAACATTCAAAAATACAAAATGATGATAACTACATGCCACTACAGCTACAATTGAACACAGTGAAAGCATTTCTACGTTATATGTAAATCATGCATTAAAACTCCTAAAATCCTGTATAAAATATATACCCGGCACCGTACCTAGTTTCTGATGTAGACCAGTTACTTCCAAACTATTACCCATGCTTGGGACCTTAAGCTTATAGTCACATAAAGTCATTCTCTACTAACACCGAACCACTGAAGCATCTAATCATGCGTGGGACCTTACGACCCCGTGACCTCTTACCATCTTGCCTACAGGGACTTGAGCGATTTGAACCCATATTTGAGGCACTGTTATCTATATCATTGTTACCCCCGACAACAGACTGAGCAGGTTGCCGAGACCTTTTACCTGTGATGGCAGGACGAAGAGGAAGAAAAGTGTCTTAAATCATACAAAAGAAAAAGGTCAAACATACTCCTGGTCTAAAATTTGAACTGACAGAACAGACCAGTCCTGTTGATATATACACAATATAAAATGACTTTTTATGATAAAATGTCTATAAATTGATTGTGATATAGAATGTAAACCTGTGGACAAAAGAGATTAAACCTGTTACTGAAAACCCACTACTGTCTGAACGTGGTAACTCAGATGATGCATGTGTTTGGATTATTCACAGAATTTATGATCGATTCTTATACATCAACTACATGTACTTAATCTCAGAATGTGGCAAAAGCATTTTTGATTTATATATTTTTTTCAATTTTCATCACAGAAAAATAAATGTCAGTTTTTCTTAAAGCAGCTTTCACACTGTAAAGAGAGATAGCTTCTAATTATTATAATCACACTTTAAAAGTAATTAATTCAAAATGGGGCTTTTTCCAACTTTATTTGCAATTTAAAACAACACTACATAGAAATACATTTTCTGATGTAAGAGTTACCTCTCCTGTATTGTTAAACCCTCCAGGTCCCCTTTCCAATATCAGGTTCAACCAGTTTGACTGTTTTTAAATGTAACATTTTCGGGTTTAATTCCTGGCGGACCAACAAATGTTTATGCAGGCATTGCAAGGCTTTGTCAAGGCTTGCCTGAAAGCAGCATTAGATTATTAGGTCCAACCTTATTTAATAAACGACCAACTCTGGTCCAACCAGTTCAACTGTTTGGATCGTGTTAAACGAATCTGGCCCAGGTGCTTTTTTGTCAATTTCTAAATGTTTGTTTCTCTTGGATCCTACTGCAAATTTTGTAAATAAAATATAAGAAATGGCATAAACAGTCTGTGAGTTATTCCAAGAAAATGCAATATCTGAGTTACCCCATTCAGATACCACATGTAGATGTGTCCCAATAAGCTGAAGCAGTTCTTTATGGTGGTCAGATCTACATGAAATCTACATGAAATCTACATGAAATGACTTAATTGCAACAACTCCCACAGTGACCTCTGTTAGTATATACATTGTATATAGAAAGTGTTACCTCTCCTTGGGGAAGACTGGTTCTGGCTCAAACTCTGTCGCAGACCTGGTAAAGATAAGTCATACTCAGTATGAACATAAACCCTTGGACATCAGTACCTTGAGATCCTACTCAGAAAACATTATGAGCTGAAAGTTAGCACACTTTATGTACTAAAAGGAAAAAGCAGCGACACATTTTATAATGAATTCTTTGGAATTTCCTTTGGTGCAAATATGGGCTAAAGTATCATTTTTTTTCACAAACAACTTTCAAACAATACTTTTAATCTTAGTTACTGCACTAGTACAACTTCACAATTGAAACATGTACTGGACCCATTCACTTCTGAAATTTCATAATGAACTATTCCAATCTTTGAATTGGAGGAGTTCAAATGTGTCTTTAGGGGTGAATGAGTTAATTCCCATACATAATCTTATTTGGTCTAGGTTGACACATACTTTCTTCCTGCTGTTTTGCAAGGTTTTCTATGTCGGCCACATCTGGATGTTGTTTGTCGTCGTCACGGTAACTGTCAGCACTCCGTGGCGAATCATCTTGGCTACTCCAGCTTCCCTGTTTAACAATGGGAGGGGGGGGCTCTCGACTCTTCTTTGGGCGTGTAAATGTTCCTGTGTCTAGGCGGCTGATTTTGCCTGTAAATAGTCAATCTCTTTATGGAGGGGATCTAGAGAGGTGATTGGGAAATCAATAATGAACATTTATCTAATCATAGGTTTTATGACAATACAAACCCTAGTTAACCTAAAGTAATATTTTCCAAATGAACAAAATAACACCTGAATCAAAATAAATCAATTTGAAAACAGCTGACTGTTAAATGTGGAACCTGTTGGTTCTCTACTATTGACTCTTTGTCTCGTGGACAGTTCTACTCTATCTTTAAAAGCCAGTTTAATTTTGAACCATATCAAGTTAAGCTTAATTCCAGCTAATGTATAATTATCAGCAAATTTTGAATGTCGAACTTAAAATTACCCATTGAAACTGGTAGATGGGTTGGTATACCACGTTATAATCATACTTGTTTGCTATGTAATAATGGTATTGGGGATGAATACCACTATCTATTTCAATGTAATAAAGCTACGATAACTAATTATAGACATAAATACATCGCACATTACTTTTATATAAATCCAAGTTTAGATTAAATGAGAGGTATATTTGAAATTTATAATCGACCCATATTATCCAGAGTGAGCTACTTTCTTAAAAATGTAGGAAACCTATGTATTTCAAGCTGATTATTGTCATACAATTGCAGTTTATTCTAAAATTGCATAAATTTGTTCTTTATTACCTTTATATGCTTATAATTTGCAATTAATCATTATTATTCTTGAGTTACTTTAATGCGTATTTACTATAATTATTCATATGTTACAATGAACTTAGTAACTGTATTACCCTGTCTGCCATGTATGTTGTTTTGAATTTTTGACCTCTTGTTACATGCACAAGTGTGTCAAGAGTGTTATAAAGAATCTGAATCTGGTAACTAATTACATTGGCAATGTAATTGTAATTTAATGGTAATGCTACTTTTCCAATGTAATGTTTAATTTAAGTACTTACATTCACAATTTAATGGCCCCATGCCTAACTGATACCTGTCAACCCCTGACTACTCACCTGTATGTGTTTTCTTGACCGCAGGCTTGTGGTTATACAGGGGGGTACTGTCAGCTGACTGACTCATAGGGGAGAAACCCCGTGTTGGAGAGGGTGTGGTCAGGCTCTGGAAGGCTGGCGTACTACAACTCCTCGACACTGAAACACACAGGTTATATATCATCATTAGAGGTTTATAACTACAGGCACTCTACATGTACATCTATAAAATAAAAGATTCATCAATATCTTTCAAAACATTTGGTTTTTATCAAAACATATCCAACACCCTATGCGGACACAAACATTTTAAGTTCTTTAACCTAGTGCTTCCTCTTATTTTCAGTTAACAATAATTATACAACATATACTTTATGTATGAGCAAATTACAGATTTATTGTTATGTAATTAATTGTATTACAATATGTAATTAATTGTAAATTTGATACTTTATCAATGAATGATAAAAAGTGGGACATTTGGTGAATTACTGTAAAGAGTATCAGCTGGTTGGTGCTTTCTGTACAAATCTTTAGAATGTCAGAAAGAATTTGTTTTAACTTGAAACAGTTAGACATACAGCAGCCTGCAAAATGCATAAAATCTACTGACAGCACACAGCTAGCCTTGTTGAATCTGCTAACTAAACGTTCCCCAAGCTCCTGATCACCTGTGCAGGTACATACAGTGTTTAGAACCAATGCTAAGCCAATCAGGCAGCTAGGCAGCTGTGTACATGTAGGTGTTGGCACAGGTATTTAGGTGTGATGTAGGAAGTTGTAGGTATACATGGTGATACCCAGCTGGTTATCATATCAAAATCTACGATAACTTCATTCAACCATACTGATATGTAGTAAAAAGATATAATTAAAATCTTTATGCATTTTCATGTTCAGAGTTTTCTGGACGGCAGAAAATTGGTACAGTGATTATCTCAATTGGTATAAAATTTGATTCAATTAAGGTGTGCAAAAAATTCAGGTAATTAACAAGTTTTATCATGTACAACCAAGGCTGATACATGTATGTGCAATAGCATGTACCTATATAGCTACCATCAAATCAAATGTCTATATATCTATAATATGTAAATCATGAACCTCCCATTGTGACACACGATTCACGACTAAGGTAAAACTGTCGGGGGTTCCATTTGACTTTAATTTAAGAGCAAATGATAAAAATATTCTCATCAGTGTCGGGGGGAGATATATACAAAAGCTTAGATTTACTCTTATTCCATCTTTGACATTAAACTTTCTGCACCTTGTTATAATTACATTAAAGTCAGAAGGAATGGGAGCAGGTCCTGAGGGTCCTCTTTATCTCATCCTTACTCCATAAGTGTTTTTTGGGACTATAACTTTGGAATGAATTTAAGATTCATCCAAATGCATCCATCAGTTCAGTAATTTTCCAAATAATCAGAATGATGAAAAGGTATGTAAAGGGCAATAACTCTGTCAAACATGATTGAAACAAAAATCAATATAAGTGAACAAGTGCATGATGAAGTGATCCTATGTTCAGAATTTCAATTGTGTGTAGACTCAAATGACAATAAAGCATAAACAAGGGTAACCACTCTGCCAAAATATTTTAGAATAATTAGTTGAAAATGGCCAAATATTTTCTACAAACAGACAGACAGACAAGCTAGTTTCATTTATCCCCCTAACAATGTTGTATGGGGCATAAAAACACAGACATACAAAATGTTTAATCACACATGTACACACAATAGCATCATCTACTTTTAACTACAAAATCTTAGCAGAGACAGAAGTGAAGGCCATGTTCCACAAGTTTCTACCATCAGCTATAGTGATTGTACATATGCATTTACACCAAAAAAGTTTGTCAGTTGTAAGACAGAAGCAGGACCGAGTGTGTATGGTGTAATATCCTGTGTGAGTGAAAACTAGATGGTTACAGACTACAGAACAGCACTCAGGGGTACCCCACAAAGACGTGGAGAGGAGGGACAGGGCAATATCACACACAATACACTTACTGGCTTCCTCATTTGCTCCTGAAATTCAAAAACATTTGTTTACAACAAGAAACATAGAAGATAAAGTATGTAAAAGAGCTTTCAGTAATCCTGTTTAACTGAATGCAGACAACAATATGTTTCCTAATTGTTTGCTTTCTACGTTATACCTGTTCCACTCCACATACACAGAGTATACATGTTTTTTCCCCTGATAATTACCAGCTACCCATTACAGGTACTTTGTCTCTATACCTTACAAACAGTATAGGGCATGCCTGTCATTTCTGGAGGCATAGTTAAACTTTCAAGTCGCTATAGATACTCAATTAGTGTTGTTAGGAAGTAATTAACCCTGCAATACTGTAATTAAGACTTGTTCAATGAAACGTATAGTATAGCAATGTATAGATGTACCGTACTATAGTCAGAATAGTATGCATGTACCAGTATACATGTTTATATACTGGTGGTTACCATGGTATTTACACATACATCAATATATGATATACAATTATTTTCTTTTACCAATCATTATACACTTGCATATATGTCCATATATAAAAGTGATTTGGCGATAAATGCTATTGTCTTAAAGAGACTGATACATGGATGCTTTATATGAAAGATTCATTATCTCATTTTACCAGACTATAGTTTTAGGACTATATCCCCATCATACTAAATGAACTAAAACATAATGCAGAGATCAAATGCAAAATGCAATTGCCCCACTCCTTTACATATGCATGTTATCACATGGACTGAGTATAGGCCTAAACAGGTAAGAGGTGGGGGAGGTAGTACTCAACCTCAACCCCTGTGTTTGTTGATTGATCAGGACATCATTGCAGGGACACACAATATTGAAAGAAATAGATATGACGCTCAATAAGCTTTCGGAACTTTTGTCTTAGAACATCGCTCTTTGAAAATATCTGTTCTGATTGGGACAACAACAAAACAATAGTCCCATGAAATTGAACAACGATACAGTATGCAGTTGTATACATATATATTCTATATCCTTTTATCCTCCGTTACATATATGTTTGCTAAACTAGAACTGATAACGAACAACGTAAACCAATATATGTGTAGTCAGGTTTTTGTCCACTAAACATGACTGTAGGATTACATCACGTCCCTCCCACTATAAAACAGGACCAGATGATGAAGGCATCAGGCAGATTGGATGATTATGTTGCCTGGACTATCAGCATATCACTCCTCACACTGCTGTGTCTTATCATTGAAGTAAATATGTCTTCATTTACCAGTATGTATATTATGTAACAAACTCAACTCAGATAAAACAAACAGTTCTAGTCACATGATGAAGACAGATAAGAATAAATGAGTTTTGTGATAAAATCAGTAAATAAAATTACAATATTTTTTTTAATTTTCGGCCTTATGCATCCTGGAAAACTTCCGTCATTATTTTGATCAATCATCTCAAAATTGAACAAAAGTCGATCAGCCAATCTGTACTCAATACAAGAGGCCCAATGGGCCTGCATCGCTCACCTGGTATAAAACTCACACTTGTAACCTTAAAAGTGATCTAAAATAAAGCTACAGGCAAAATATCAGTATTTATGATTAAAATTCGTTCAAAAGACCCTGTTATTTTTTTTTTAAACATTTCACCCCTGTGATTGAAAGTCGAACAAAGTCATTATGTTGAACACATTGTATAGGCTTTCATCTCAGGATGCAACTTGCAAAGTATAAACATCCTGGGACCCATGGTTATTCATAAGAGGTTGTTTAAAGATTTTAAACAAATTTGACCCCTGTGACCTTGAATATAA